CTGTTCAATGGAAACAATAGTATATGTACATCTAGAAGATCCTCTTGCCATTTTATGTGATCCCCATTTTATCTGTTCCATAATGAAAAAGAGTTTATGTACATCTAGATGATCTTGTAATCTTACGTGATCCGCTTATTTCTGTTGGATGAAAACTATAGTATATATACATCTAGATAGTCCCCTGGTCATCTTACGTGATCCCAATATATCTGTTCCATAATAACAAGAAAGAGTATATGTACATCTAGATGATCCCCTTGTAATTTTACGCAATCCCCTCATATCTGTTCTAGAATGAAAATGAGTATGTACATCTAGATAATCCCATGGTCATCTAACGTGACCTTTATATCTGTTCCTTAATAAGAAGTGATTATATGCATTTCCCTCATATATGTTCTTTAAGAACTACAGTGTTTATACATGACCCTTCAAATATGTTCCATAACTACTAATGTATATTTACATCTAGATTTCCTGCTCATCTTACATTAACCTCTCGTACATCTTCTATCAAAACTACAGTATATGGGTCATGTAGTTGATCTCTTGGCCCTCTTTTAATGTGATTCCTCATAAATCTTTAATGAACATAAGTATATATTGTGTGTACATTCAGACGATCCTTTATTCATCGAACTTGATATATTTCAAATGCTGATTAAATTATTAGGCATATGAATGAAAAACCATTATGGTACGATTGTATGTCCTGAATACTTTAAAGCCTGTTTCCATATTTTAGACATACGCATATATTTATTAGGATGATTAAGCATATGCACTATTTCACAGTGAATCTGATCATTTCGTCTATTTTTATCAGGATGATAACGCTTTATCAGAAATTCGTGCTTAATTTATAGGCGGGACTAGATATGCAACATATACTCTCACTCGATCCCTTTTTCCGTTTATCTGAACAAGTGCCCGAAAGGTCATGAATATTTATCTACCGAATATTAATTAGGTACTACGACGGTGCCACTTTTCCTTCTACCATCCTAACACGAGGTTTTGAGTGCTAATTTCTATTTGTCTGGTTATATTTTTGGTCGACGTTTGCTTGATAATTATCATGCAAATATCAACTTGTCGACTTGTGATAATACACGAGAAGAAATTCAGGCCAATAAATTTCTACTTTTTGTGCTAAGTTATAGGTCGACAAGTTGACGATTTTGTGATAATTATCGAGTAAAAAACATCAACTTGTCTTGTTTTCGGGTTAATTTTTTATCGCAAAAAGTCGAAATTTTATTCTTAATTTCTAGTTGTCGGCTTATTTTTTAGTCGACAAGTCGATGGCGGAAACGGGATTCCGTAATAGTGCGATGGCGACAATGCGATGGCTACAGTGCGATAACGCGATGACGACAGTGCGATAATGCAATGGTGACAATACGATAGTGCGATAATACTATCCCGTTGTCTTCGCGTTATCGCGCTGTCGTCATCGCGTTATCGAACTGTCACATTATCGCCATCGCATTTTCGCACTGTGGTCATCGCACTTTCGTATTGTCGCCATCGCGTTATTGCATTGTTGACTATCGCCTTCTGGTACACATGCTCACATTCTTTTTTTGTATTTGATTGGGCGGCTCTAAACTGCTAACGAATAAACTGACGATATAGAATATGGGGCAATAAGTTTACATTTCGTTGGCTTAATACTCGTATGTCATTTTTTGCCATTTTTAGAAAATCGCATTTGAAAGTTTGAACTGTAATAACTTTTTAATGATAAACCGTATAAAGATAAAATTTTCAGTGAATTTAGGAATCTTTATGTTATACATATATGCCAAATTTTATTTCTGTGCATACAATTTTAAAGTTAAAATCTCAAATAATTTATTTCAATTTTTCATAATAAATAAGAAAACTCATACATATTCTGAATTCTAAAACCCCATTCGGGAGATACTGGGTTGTTGGCAAAACATTCAGGTCATTTCTACACCATTTAGGCGACATACGGGGTTCTAAGTGAAACATTTGAAGCAAAATTGACTAAGTGTAATAATTTTCGGCTAGAAACATAGCAACAATTCAAGTAAAAAATATCATTAACTTCTCCTACTGTATAATATTGTAAAATATTACACGTTTGTTTGAAAATAAATGCTACTATCAAAATATATCTACATCAATTTTTCAAAAGTATGCACTTGTTATGGTACATGTTTATCAACCGTGGATATCCGACGATGCGTTTCTGTCACATACCTATGTTGCTATAATGTTTCAATTTTTGATTTAGAGTGTACATCAAGTAGATGCTTTTCGTGCTTTAGAAAACAGCGTTGAATCTGAAATAATTTGTCCTGATAGCATCTAGATGTAAACAAAGTGGTAGTTTGTCTTCCATTCAAGAATATCTAATAACTATAACTTCACGGATGATCAAAATGCAAATGGAAGAAAGGGTTCAGCTATATTGCCAATGAGTACCCTTTTCAAAAAATGTATAATCTTGAAAATAAGAAGCTTTCGGGGAAACAAAAAAATATAGTACTCATCGAGGCCGTCCGAAATGGTAATCATCCGAATAAATGTAGTATTTACATATTTATCTATTCAAGACATTTACTATATAATCAAAAATGATGTAAGAGCTATAAAAACTAAATCATCAATATATGTATATTACAGTCAGGTAATATACTATAATTATCTTTAAATAAATCACTAAAGGTTTTTCAAATATTTGGTTGTGATAAAGTAGGCAGCCATTACAGATGTGTCATGTATCACGTGGTACAAAATCAGAATGTTTGATTGGACGAGAAGTTACTGGAGTCTAGAATTAAAGTTTGGTGTAAATAGCGAGTTACGGGTTTGTGGAATTGGAAATAAACATATTTATGTTAGTTCTACAACTACATAAGTATGTTCACTGTGAAAAGCTCAATGAGACGAAAAAAATGATATAAAAATCTCCATTTTGCCAAAAATCGAGTTACGGGGTTGTAGAATTAACCCGACGATTTGTAAATCGATTTTTTTGTTAGGGGTGTTCTTGTTTTTCTTTTTTTTTCCTTTTCTTCTTTTTGTATGCTAAAAACGTCTAAATAAAATTTATAAATTAATAATAAATTACATTTTATATTTAAAGATAGGGGAAATACCTAAAGGGTTAAACATATGTAATCAATTGTGTAAAACTTGAATATAGTCGAAAGATTTCAGATGAAAATGATGTTATGTCGACATTTAAAAGGTGAAAAATGTAAAAATAATTGATACAAAAATAAGATTTTGTTGTGGAAAAATTATAATGATGATTGTATAAATTTGAACAGTCTGTGTAAAATACAAAATGAAAAGAGTTCTTATATTTTACTGGTCAGTAGTACATAAGTTTTCTCGACAAATACAAAGATAGTTAATAAATAAATGTAAATGGTCCATAATTGGTCACTATGAAATTGTCACTATAAAATACTTCTAAAATCACTTAAGCATAATACTCTTAATTCATTTTGGAATGTTTATAGATGTTACATCTTGAAAATGCTTTGTGGTTTATGCCATGTTTTCTTCTTAGACTATATGGTCAGCAGATTTAACGTACTGTGCATTATACGCACACATATATAGCAGAATCTGCTGACCAGTGAAACATGTAGAAGAATATGTTGACCAGTTAAACTTACAGTGAAAACTGCTGACCAATAGATATATAGAGAAATATTAAATTCTGCCGTGTTTTTTTATTTATATTGTAATGTTAGTAAATATAACATATTCTACATCTCGCAAACCAATAAAACCACTGCTGATCAACTAAACTATAAAAGTAATTGCTGTAGTGGTTTTTGTCGTATTTTCTTCTAAAACGATATCGACAGCAGATTTAACGTAATGTACGTCATGCGAAAAACTGCTGACTAGTTAAACGTATAGTAGAATCTGCTGACCAGTTAAACATATAGTAGAATATGTTTAGTGAAAATTGCTGACCATTTAAATTAGAGATATAGATAAAATTATGTCTACACGTAAGTTTCTTTTTTTTTCAATGTTAGTAAATACAAAAACAATCTACAGCTTACAAAACAATAAAACCACTGATGACCAATTAAAACTCTAAAAGAAATTACTTAAGTGAGTTTATTTTCATTTTCCGTATTTTCACTTTAAAATTTATTCTTTATTGCAGTAAAACATATTTTCCATATTTTCATTTGTGTCTTGCCGGACTTCTTTCTTCTAAATTTAGCCAATACCCAACATTTTAGGGCAGGTCTTTCAAATTGTAATGTCAAAAAGAGAAAAATGTATAAAATAATACCGCAACTCATGAAATATTTATTTTCACACCATTCGATAAAAATAAATCCTGCATTTATCGAAAAGAAAACTTGAATATCCTCTATGTACTATTGACAATTAATTACTTTTTGCATCTTTTAAATGTCAACATAACATAATTTTCATCTGAAATCTTTCGACATTTTTTGAATGTTTCACACAATTACTTACATTTTCCGTGTATGTTATATATTACTAAATGACTCTTCGAGTATTTCCCCTTTCATAAAATGTTACTTTTTATTAATTTATAATTTTATTTAGACGTTTACAGTACACAAAAAAGAAAAAGATAAAAAAGAAATCTACTGAAAAAAGTAAAATTATTTTACCATATTTCATCATGTAAAACACTATATAATCCAGAGTGCGATGACGACAATGCGATAATGCGATGGCGACAGTGCGATAACGCGATGACGACAGTACGATAATACGACAGTGCGATATCGCGTTGACGACAGTGCGATACCGCGATGGCGACAGTAGGATTCGCAATTGCGACAACGCGATAGTACTATATCGCATTTTCGCCATCGCGTTATCGCACTGTCGTCATCATGTTATCGCATTGTCCCCATCGCACTATCGCATTTTCGTGCTGTCGAATTCGCGGTTTATACTGTCGTCATCGCACTGTTGCATTGTCGCCCTCTGGATGATAAAGTATAACCACGATGGCACTAACGGTATTCCGTAAGAAAGCGGTCAATTTTCTATACTCAGTATTGCCTAGGATTTGGTGGCCGTGCTCAAAATAACTTGCGCTTTAGATCTTTAATCTTTTAATTTCAATTTGTGTTAATGTAACTATGATCCTTGGCTCATAAAATATCTTTGCACCACTTTTCTATAAGTACATTTCTTTTTGTTTATTTTGAAATCACCTGTCGTTTTGTATTTTTCAGTCCTGGATAATCATACCACAAGTGTTTTCTTGCCTGGTTCAAGTCCTGTGTTGTATTTCAAGTTACAAAATGGTTTGGCAAGTAACATAAGATTATACCTACTCCAGTCTAACGTCACACTACTTGAAGTTGATCAAAAAAACAACGTGACGTACCATGATAATGACGTTACGTTCAACGGAAATGTTCATCAAAACAACTTCTCCGCAAAAATTCTAAACTTACAAAGACAAAGAAACGGGACTTATGTCTGTGAATACACCATTGATGATGGCACCACTATGCGAGACGGCAGGACTGTTGTCGTTCTAAGTAAACTTGTTGTTTTTTTCTTCTTTAAGTAAAAGTAGTTTTTTTTTATAGATGTAGATTCTTTTGCAACAGCTTGTAAAAATAACATGGTCTATTATTTTTCAAATGTATGGACTTTTTTCTAATGAATTTTGAATTTTTCTATTCAATCTCTTTGCATTTTTCTGCGTGCCCACTTATTACTATCGCTAAGTAGATTCGTCGTTCGTAATCTTCAAGCAGAGTTGTCGTTCTTGAATAAATAAAGAATACACGCTCAGAGACAAGACAGGGTTGTCGTTCGTATATAAACGGCAATTTAACTTTCAAAGTAGAGTTGTAGTTTGATTTAACATCTACACGCTTAAAGCAGAGTTAATTGTCGTTTATAAATAGCAATAACACTATCATAACATAGTTATCAATGCCAGGTCGCCAAACAGAGTTGTCGTTCTTTACATACTTTGTGGTACTGTCGCTCTGCCGGGCACCAGGCGAAAACACGAAAAAAAAAGACATAGTCGCATCGTCGGATAGCCACGATTGTTTTACACGTAATCGGTAATAATCGGATAACTTCAATAGTTCGGTCGCAATCGCAACTACTCGGCCCTTTCCGTCAGTCTTCGGATAAGGACCTTGAACACAATAGTATGAATACACAGAACGTATGCGATATTTCGGTCTAACCTACGCTAAGAAATAAATAGTAATTTAATGCTGAGAGTTGCTGACAAGTTTATTTCCAAAATATGTAGTAAAAGTCCACCTAAAATAAGTGAATTCATGTGTACAAAAGCAAATAATACATTATTGATATATTTATTATTATGGTTGTAGTAACCGAAAATACAAAAAACCAACCTGTTGACATTTAGTCGGATTTGTTTAAAATTGAAAATCAGAGGGCATATTTATATAACAAATTGTTGTCAGAGATATTTTCAAGCATAAGAGTACCGGAACAGAAATTAGATGTCAAATACGTATATACATTCGTTTTACATTATCTCTGTTTCGGTTTGGGGGCAATACACAGTTTTAAAACACCTGACTGCGCCACAATCAAAACTTCACACACAAGTCTGTAATCACACACCTGAAATAAATACATTTCATATTTAACACATACATATGTATCTCACAGCAAACATATAAAAATACATGTCCACCTTCTAGGTTTCTGGCACATAGCCCTGTGTTTTTCATTGTTTTGGTCGCGAAAATCAACGACAAAAAGAGTGGATTACCCCTATTCGCATAATAACAAAAATACGAGTATATTAACGTCAAAAGATTGAATCACAAGCTATAGTGATTCTTCCTTCTTAAACAATGCACAATCTGAAAATAACATCCAAACGGGGAGTCATGCATCTACTTTTTTCACTAATCTTAGTCTTCTGCATACCCTTTAAATTGAAGAGCTGATTCACTAGCCCAAAAACCACATTTTCGCATCCGACAGGTACTCTCTCAAAAAAGCAAGGGTCAACGCCACTAAATTCAATTTTACTAAATAACTGAAACACAATACTAGTCATTGAAACTTGAAATATAGTAATTTTAAACATTTAGAACCACAAATATCCACTTCATTTTCAAAACTGTCTCTTATTTGTAAATTTGTCAATTAAACGACTGAAACTGTGTACTGCCTCCTTTACACCTGAAACCACGTGGTAGGACTACTTTCAATTCGTTTTGTTTCCGAGGTTATTATAGATAATAGCCGAGGATGTTCCGATTGGGTTGGGTATCCTAAGATGACAAAGTGGTAACTTTGTCGTAATTTCGTCGAAGGCACAAATAAGCCAGCATAATAATTATGCTACTTGTATAAATGATATGAGAGAATAAGTGTAACATTGTTTATACATTAAAGCTGTAAACATTTCGAAACAAAACATATTATAAATTAGATGTGTAAATTAACTGTATACAATGTACATTGTACTTATATTCAAGAAAGATTTTTTAATTCAATCATATGACACCTTTCAGTGTTTCTTAAATTGGACAAGCTCACTTGCTCTACTTGGACTTGTAATCTAGGTGTTTAACCACTGTATATTGCAAAATTAATACACGCCGAGCCGTCCCATTATTTCCGGTGTTGCTCTAATTCTCCTGCCCTTCATGAACACCTGATAATTTAGGTCCACAAGTTTGAATGGAGAGGGTTCGCATAACTAATGGAATGCAAGTTATCTTCCCACCAAATATGACATATGTCAATAATGGAGGCTGTATGGGTAAAAGTGTAAAAGAAAATCTATTTTTAGCACTGATGACATTGACTTGACTGACCCCTAACTCCATAGGGTGGAAGAACCTATTATAGACGGCTATACAAACAAACGATTTAATACTTTAAGTCACTTCACCAACCACGAATCACAGAATAACACTAGCAGACGTTTAAACAGGTAAACGGCCCATTAAACCTCACCGGTGGTAAAAATCACGATTCTCCGTCAAGTGAAATTCAAATAATAATTATTGTTGACAACTAAATGCATACTAGTTATATTATTTCGTCGTTTATTTACAGGAAAACCAAAGGCGCCGGAAATCAGAAATACCACGTGGGAAGTTTTTGGAAATGGAATATCAGGCACTCTAACTTGTGAGGGTACTTCTGATTTCGCCGGTCCACTTTTCTATAAACCTGCTGTAGCAGCCAATTTAATGACTGAATGGATCATCCCATCCGAAAACGATTGGCCAGGGAGAAACGTTGGTTACTTTGTATCGATCAATGGATCCTCAGCTAACATATCAATTTTTGATTGTACGGAAACGAATTTGTTGCCGATATATTGCAAAGTGTCAGAAAAGTCGCTTGTTTCGGACAAAAGCTTTGGGTTTTTCCCTAACATTATGTGTAAGTATATCATTTTTATCGAATAAAGCCGACTCGCCATTTTGATATTACTAGAAAAATTTCCTTTGGTGTAATAGCATAAAAAATAGTTGTAAAGCCTCATTTTATGGCAAATGCCTCAAATATACACGAATCCACATTTTTCTATTGCAAGCTAGTGCCTTATGTGTGGAAAGGGATTTACATAAGTCACACTTGACTTGATTTCCAATCCACGAAATCTATCAGTGTGTTTATATATGCTTACTGTAAATAGTTATGATGTACAAATTTAAATAAATATTCTTTAAAGTAATGGCAAAGGGTCCAAATTGTAAAACAAGTAAGCGACATACACCAATACCTGATAAAAGGTGATATGCCGAGAGCAAAAGAAGTATACCACGGAACACTAGAATGTTTTAACTTTGTCTTTCTAAGACATTTTTCCATTTCTCAATTACTGCAACTTCACAATAAGCTACAAAAAATCGCGATATTTAGATATACTTGTTACCTTTTGTTGCAGGTTCGAAATTATGGTCGGCTGATGAGCATGACGAACATCGTGATAAAACTATAAAAATAGTTCTTGTAGTATTGTTGGTCGTATTTGGTATTGCTGGTAATGGTACGTTTTATTTTGTACTTTTATAAACTTTTTAATAATGAACATTGTATATTTATTTCATGCATTCCAGTGTTTTATTGTAATATATCAGATGATTATATTCTGATAAACCACTAGTGAAATTTATAAAATATAATTTTCACTGTAGCCGGACTATATCTGAATACGGATGAAAAGAAAATTAAACTAAATGGAATGACAGACAGAAATAAATGCCGTCATACGTAAATTTTGCTTCTTTAGGAAAAAAAGTCGATGTCAACATACATCATGTTAGAAATGTAAGAAAATTAGAGAAATCTAACAAAACTATATTTCAAAATTGATGATGTGACGTCATGATGTGATGACGTCAGAAAGGAGAATGCGCGACGTTACGCGGCAAAATGAGTAAAATACTTAAAATCACTTAAAAAGCATGAAATAAAAAGAAAATTTATTTGTTTTACATATAAGATTGAAATTTATTTCATTCGTGAACACCAGCTATAATATTTTCACGAGTTGCTACGCCACTCGTGAAAATATTGCATCTGGTGTTCACTCAGTGAAATTATATTTCAATCTTACATGCAAAACAAACAAATATCCTCTATATAATCTGTACTAAAATTTTCTTTATTTTTAAAGAAAATCTTTACCATTGGTCATGTTATATCTATTTTATCTTGTCATTACAAGAGCGCCATAAATTTAAATATGATCGGACAAAATCGGAAAATAAAATAAATCACGCAAAACAACGGTTTATCAACCAGGGCAATGCTTTATCAACAAGGCCAATGGTTTATTAACCAGAAAAAAATGGTTTATTAACCAGAACAAGGGGTTTATTAACCAGAACAAGGGGTTTATTAACCAGAACAATGGTTTATCAACCAGAACAATGGTTTATTTAACCAGAACAAGGGTTTTATTAACCAGAACAATGGTTTTATTAACCAGAACAATGGTTAATGAACCAGAACAATGGTTTTATTAACCAGAACAATGGGTTAAGGAAACCAGAACAATGGGTTTATTGACGAGAAAAATGGTTTTATTAACCAGAACAATGGTTTATTTAAGCAAGAAACAATGGTTTATTAACCAGGACAATTGTCTATAAAAGCTGCACGCCTCCAGATGAGCCAAACTATTTCAAGAAAATCAGTATTGAGAAAATGCACTTAACTATATTTTACATGTTATGTGCGGTATAAGACCGATGTTGCAACATTTTATCACCATATTACTACTGTGCGTTACTTATGCAGTAAGGGCTGTTTTTGTCATATCTTGACAACTTTTTGTTATTTTCTGGTGGATTGGTAAGTGCCGATTGCAATATGTAAATTACTTTATTTGTTCACCTCACAAATTTTACTTTTAAAAAATGTAAAAAAAGTTTTTAAAAAGAAGGAATCTAGCATTTTTTAAACGAAAAAGTTATTACCAAACAAGGGTTTATTAACCCCAAAAAAAGGTTTTTTAACCGGAAAAAAGGGATTTGAAAAGGTTATTCAAAAAAATTTAGAACGGTTAAAAAATTTTATTACGGGCCTTGGCCAGAAAAATTTTTTATTAAAAGGAAAAATTTATTACGAATTACAAAAAAAAAATTTAAAATTTTTTATCAATTTAAAATAAAACATAAACTGGAAAATAGTAATTTTTAAACCGACCATGTTATAACAAGCGGCCCTTTTTAACACATGTTTTATTACCCCAAAAATGGTATCCAAATGTTATTACCAGGAATATTTTTAAATGGTTTTTTAACCCGCGGGGTTTTAAACAATGGTTAATTAACCAGAACAATTGTTTATTAACCAGAACAATGGTATATTAACAAGAACAATGGTTCTTTAACAAGAACAATGGTTTAAAAAATGGTTTATTAACCAGAACAAGGGATTTATTAACCAGAACAATGGTAATTTAACCAGAACAATAAATTATTAACCAGAACAATGGTTTATTAACCAAAACAATGGTATATTTACAAGAACAATGGTTATTTAACAAGAACAATGGTTTAAATAAAAGGTTTATAAACCAGAACAAGGGATTTATTAACCAGAACAATGGTAATTTAACCAGAACAATAAATTATTAACCAGAACAATGGTTTATTAACCAGAACAATGGTTCATTTACCAGAACAATGGTTGGTTTATTAATCAGAACAAGGATGTTTTTAAAAAAAAGAACTATGTTTTTTTTAACCAGAACAATGGCTTATTAAAAAGAACAATGGGTTAATTAACCAGAACAATGATTTATTAACCAGAACAATGGTTTATTAACAAAAACATTTTATTTTAACCAGAATAATTACTACTAACCAGAACAATGGTTTATTAACCAGAACTACGGTTTATTTACCAGGACCATGGTTTATTAACCAGAACAATGATCTATTAACCAGAACAATGCGTATACTAACCAGAACAATGGTTTATATACCAGAACAATGGTTCATTAATCAGAACAATGGTTATTTAACCAGAACAATGGTCTTTCTATTAACCAAAACAATGGGTTTATTAAGCAGAACAATGGTTTATTAACCAGAACAATGGTTTATTAACCAGAACATTTTTTTTAACCACAATAATGGCTATTAACCAGAACAATGGTTTATCAACCAGGACAACGGTAATTTAACCAGAACAATGGTTTATTAACCAGAACAATGGTTTACTTACCAAAAGAATGGTTAATTAACCAGAACAAGGGGTTTATTAACCAGAACAGTGGTTTTTTAACAAAAACTATCATGGTTATTTAACTAGAAAAAGGGGTTTATTAACCAGAACAATGGTAAATTAACCAGAACATAGGTAAATTAACCAGCAAAATGATTTTATTAACCAAAACAATGTTTTTTAACAAGAACAGTGTGTTTTTTTAAACAAGAACAATGGTTTATTAACCAGAACAATGGTTTATTAACCAGAACAATGGTTTATTAACCAGAATTATGGTTTATTAACCATAACAATGGTTTATTAACCAGAACAATGGTTTATTTACCAGAACAATCATTTATTAACCAGAACAATGGTTTATTATACAAATAATGTTTTTTTTACAAGAACAGTTGTTTATTAACCATATTTATGGCTTATTTACCAAAACAATAGTTTATTAACAAGAACATGAAGTTTATTAACAAAAACAATGCTAAACTAACCAGAACACTGGTTATTTGACCAGGACAATGGTTTATTAACCAGAACAATCGTTTATTAACCAGAACAAGTGGTTTATTAATCAGAACAATGGTTTATTAACCAGAACAATGTTTTTTTACCAGAACAATGGTTTATTAACCAGAAGTTTGGTTTATTAATCACAACAATGGTTTATTAACCACAACAATGGGTTTATTAACCAGAACAATCGTTTATTAACCAGAACAATCTTTTCTTAACTAGAATTATGGTTTATTAAACATAACAATGGTTTATTAACCAAAACAATGGTTTATTAACCAGAACAATGGTTTATTAACCAGAACAATCATTTATTAACCAGAACAATGGTTTATTACACAAAATAATGGTTTTTTACAAGAACAATTGTTTATTAACCATATTTATGGCTTATTTACCAAAACAATAGTTTATTAACAAGAACATGAAGTTTATTAACAAAAACAATGCTTAACTAACCAGAACACTGGTTATTTGACCAGGACAATGGTTTATTAACCAGAACAATCGTTTATTAACCAGAACAAGTGGTTTATTAATAAAAACAATGGTTTATTAACCAGAACAATGTTTTTTTACCAGAACAATTGTTTATTAACAAGAAGTTTGGTTTATTAATCACAACAATGGTTTATTAACCACAACAATGGGTTTATTAACTAGAACAATCGTTTATTAACCAGAACAATATTTTCTTAACTAGAATTATGGTTTATTAACCAGAACAATGGTTTAATAACCAGAACAATGGTTTATGAACCAGAATTATGGTTTATTTGCCAGAGCAATGGTTTATTAACCAGAACAATAGTTATTTAACAAGAACAATGGTTTTAAACAAAAAATGGTTTATTAACTAGAACATGAGGTTAATTAACCAGAACAATTGCTTTTAACCAGAACAATGGTTATTTAACCAGGATAATGGTTTATAAACAAGAAAAAGGGTTTTTTAACCTGAACAATGGTTTATTGACCAGAACAATGGTTTATTAACCAGAACTATGGTTATTTTACCAGAACAATGGTTTATTAACCAGAACAATGGGTTTATTAACCAGAAAAAGGGGTTTATTAACCAGAACAATGGTTTATTAACCAGAAAAATAGTTTATTAACCAGAAAAATGGTTCATTACCAGAACAATGGTTTATTAACCAGAACAATGCTTAATCAACCAGGGAATGCTTTATTTACCAGAACAATGCTTTATTAACCAGAACAATGGTATATTAACCAAAACAAGAGTTTATTAACCAGAACAATCGTTTATTAACCAGAACAATGGTTTAATAACCAGAATTATGGTTAATTAGCCAGAATTATGGTTTATTCAGCAGAATAATGGTTTATTAACCAGAATTATGGTTTATTTAACAGTGGTTTATGAACCAGAACATGGGGTTAGTTAACCAGAGCATGGGGTAAAATAACCAGAAAAAAGGTTATTTAACAAGGATAATGGTTTATTAACAGAAACAAAGGGTAATTAACCAGAACAATGGTTTATTGACCAGAACAATTGTTTATTAACCAGAATTATGGTAATTTTACCAGAAAAAAAGGTTTATTTACCAGAACAATGCCTTATCAACCAGGGCAAAGCTTCATTAACCAGAACACTGGTTTATTAACTTGAACAATGCTTTATCAACCAGGGCAATGCTTTATCTTCCAGGGAAATGCTTTATTAACCAGAACAATGGTTTATTAACCAGAACCAGGGGTTTATTAACCAGAACAATGGTTTATTAACCAGAAAAGGGGGTTTATTAACCAGAACCAGGGGTTTATTAACCAGAACAATGGTTTATTAACCAGAAAAGGGGGTTTATAAACCAGAACAATAGTTTATTAACCAGACCATTAGTTATTTAACCAGAACAACGGTTTATTAACCAGAACAATGGGTTATTTAACCAGCACAATGGTTTATTAACCAGAACAATTTTTTTTTAACCAGACCAATGGTTATTTAACCAGAACAAGGGGTTAATTAGCCAGAACAAGGTAAATTAACCAGAAGAATGGTTTATTAACGAGACAATGGTTTATTTACCAGAACAATGGTTATTTAACCAAAACAATGATTTATTAACCAGAACAAGGAGTTTATTAGCCAGAACAAGGTAAATTAACCAGAACAAGGTGTTTATTAGCCAGAACAATGGTTTATTTACCAGAACAACGGTTTATTAACCAGAACAATGGTTTATTAACCAGAACAAGGTGTTTATCGGACAAGTACTTTACACAAGTGTCACCGTGGTTCTAAAGTTTCTAAAACTTAGGTTAATTAATCCCTCCTAAAGTTATTGATCGTTTTACACTTAGTTTCAATAAATCTTGACCTTAGACATAGATATTATCTTCAATCTGTTAGGGGTCATAAACTTGGCATGGACACTGCCACTATTAAATTTCATAAACCTAGGTTTATTCCTTTTCGGACAAAATTTTCAACCCCGACCCTTTTAAACCCAAAAACCTTTTAGCCGACTTTTCAAAACAGTCCCCCCTTTTTGTACAATTGCCTTTGTTCCCCCATAAATTTTTGTCTGAAAACTTTAAATTTTAACATTGGGCCCTAATATATTTATTTTATATTTTAATGGTTTCGCCAATGGAACAAAATACCCTTTTTGGACAAGACCTTCAATCCAACTGAAATTACTTTGACTCTAAATTTCCTTATCTAATAAAATGTTAAAATTTTTCTTAAATTTCTATAAGTGGCTATTTTTGTTATACATTTTGTTTGGATTTTCTTTATACATGAACCCATTTAAAACCAAAAACAAAATTATTGAAATTTTTTTAATTTTTATAACTTTGTTTTTTTAGAATTGGTTTAAATTTTAGACAATACGGTTCTTCTTTTTTAATTAAAAATAATTAAAGAGGACATCATCTTCCATTTGTTTTAAGGAGTTAGTTTATATCGGGGCGATAAAACGCGTTAAGTAATTTTGACATTTCTACATTTTGAAATCTGTGAATTTGTTATTAATTGCTACTTAATACCTGAAAAAATTCTTTCTTTCCTTGCTTCATTTTCACAAAAAAGACACTACTTTGGAATAGTTACGGGATTACTCACAATGAAAAAGGGGAACGCAAAAAAGATATTAATAAGCCTTTTTTTTGGAAGTTCTAATGCAGTTTAAAAACAAATCAGAAGCAAGCTGGCAAAATTTTTAAAATTTTCTTAAACAAAATCTAATTCCCCATAACTTTTACTATTTTTGGGGTTAAATTCAAAAAAAAAAAAAAATTTACAAGGTTTCTTTTGGGGTTTTTTTAAAAAGGGGGCCCCAAAAAAAAAAAAACCCCCCCCCAATAAATTTTTAAAAAAAAAGGGGGGGGGGGGGGGTTTTTTTCAAAGGAAAATATAAAAAAATAAAAGCTTTAAAAAAAAAAAATATTGGTTTTTAGGGTTTAAGGGCCTTCGTATACAAAATTTTTATACATACCTACATATTTTAGTCAATTAAGCAAGATTAACAATGATAAAAACTCATTTAAACGAAATTATATTACACAAAATTCGTTTAAACGAAATAATTAACATTTTAAAAAATTTAAAAATGGAAACACGAAATTTGTTAAAAGAAAAAATATTACCAAATTTTTAACGAAAAAAATAATATTGATACATGTTTATTAGCTTCGCACGCCCTTTCTTTTTTCACTTTGTGATTTTTTTTGGCAGAAACTTTTTTTCAGTCTAATCGTTTGCAACTATTTAATATTTTGTAACAAGTGGCCCCCGATTTTTCTGAGAACATGGAAACCAAAATAGCCATTCATTTTTACTTTGTATACAAAAATTAATTGATCTTTTATCGCAATTTTTTTTCAATTTACAAATGATGTTACGAAAAAAAATTAACATATTTTTTTGAAACAAGCTTTTTCATATTACTTCTTTACATTGGTTTTTACTCCTTTCACGGGGAGGGGAATGTTACACGAGGATGGGGGTTTTATGATAACTTAATAAAAACCCTAAACGTACGTGATTAGCACAAAAATACATTCATAAAAAAAAGTTATCATAAAAACTCCTGGGCATATTTTTTTATACAAGAATCCCCCGGGCATTGAAAAAAAGGGTATAAAATTTTACCGGACTTAATTTGCCCCAATTTTTTATTATCATTTGATTATTATGGCAATATAAAACTTGAAAAAACAGGGCAAAAATTGCGAATTGGCAAATAATTTAAAATTTTAAAAAACTTCGATTAAAAACAGGCGAGAAAAAAGGACTATGAATTTGTTTTTTACACATAATACAGATTAAGCAAACTTTTAAAATTAATTTTAAATTTTCAAACTGAAACTCCTTTTTAAAAATAAAATTACCATTTTTTTACGAGTGTTTTTTCAATATACATAGTTTTCCCAGAACTCCCCTGACAGTTATCAAAAAACCATTTACAATTTTTCATAAGAACCCATCCCCCGTGTAACACTCCTCCCCTGCCTTTGAAAACTTAAAAAAATCTTTGTTTTGGGTTCTAATTGATACAACAAACTTTTTAATGTTTTATTTTTGGCAGTTAAAAAAATAAAAAAATTTGGGAAATTTTTTCATTTATTTAAAAAAAAGGTTTAAAGGGCCCCCTTTAAAAATTATCGGTTTAAAAAAAGTAAAGATTTAAAAAAAAACTTTGCTTTTAAAGGCCCCCAAAAAGGTTTTTTTTTTTGAAATATTTTAAAATTCCCTTTACTTTTTAAAAAAAAAAAAACAATTTTTTTTCAAATTTAAAAAACAAAAAACAAACCGGTTTTTTAAATTTCTTTATTAAAAAGGCCAAATTTATTTTCAAAATCCCTTAAAAAAATTTAAATAAAAATATTGTATTTATTATAGTGTTAACATTAATGCATTAACCAAAATATTATGTTTATTTTAGTGTTTACAATAATACATTAACCAAAATGTTTTGTTTATATTGTGTTTATTGTAGTGAAGCATGGAGGCGGCAAAAAATACCTTCTCTTATAGACGGATGTAAGTGAGAATTATTTTTGATATCACAATATTTTATTGTGTTGTTAGATTTAGTACCAATTCATCACTATTTCAATATTTTATCAACGGAGGTTTTGAATTTGAATCTTTCCGACACAAAAAAACTTTTACATAACAATTTCTTGCAATCTTTGCAATCTAAATCGTACAGTACATGTATCTGTATGCACTTTCCTGTATAAGTTTATTTTGATATACTATTATTCATCTTGTAGGGCACCGAGTTGCAGCGACTGCTTTAAATTTTTTTGCTATTACAGTTTGAGTTTGATACATGTATACGAATTTTGCATGACCAGAGTTTCTAACGTGGCTAATTCCTTTGAGAAAGAATGTTAAAATCGCTAAAAATATTTACAAAAAAAAAACAACAACAAAAAAGTTGCCTTGACAGGGTTTTGAACCCCAGACCTCTCGCTACCTAAAAGAGCCTGTTACCCCAGGACCACAGGGAAGTTATAAGAAAGCAGTCTGAAGCAAACCAAATTATTCTAAATTAGGGTTTGAAATCAGATATTTTGTTCACGCTAAAACTGTTGTTTAACACTAATGTAAATAATTTAGCAAAATTCTTCTCGCCCAACCAGTCTGACATGTATATAATATTTCACTACTCGACAGTCAGAATTATTTGTGTAATACGCGCTGAAGTGTGACTAAAAAACGCTTTCTTACAAACCATATAGAAAAATCCGTAAAAGTTACTAAAAATAGCGTTGTTGGAAAATCTTATCTCGCATTGGGCTATCTCGCACTCCACGTGCAGCACTTCTTTACGTATTCCTACACATAGGCGATATCCACTCCGATTTTGATCATGTATCAAACTCATATATGAGCTTATCTATTATCTTGCCCACGGAATCGAAATAAATTGATCATAATGAGTCCTTCTCTACCTAAGCCCGATTTTTCCTTATCGATCTGTTACTAAAAATAGCACACTTTAAAATTTCGCGAAATTCTTCATAAAATCGGATATTTTGACACTTTGCCTGAAAGACATCCATGTTTTCTGTAATGATACAGATGCTTCTTGATTTAATGTATTTGATCAAAATAATTGAAACAGTAGAAAAATCTTCGCAAACGGTAAAACGCTTTTTGCCAACCATTGAAGTATGGACTGAATTTCTAATAAACACTAATATTATGACATTTTCCACGTTTAATAATAAAGTATTTTAACGTGATAACCTTGCTTTTTGATGACGGACATCATTTGAATGGATTTTCATTGAATATTTCGACACATAAATTGGATCAGTAGATTTTTTTGCTGACAGTAAAATGTTTTTTGTCAACCATAGAAAGTCAGGCGCCTAAGCCCCGCCCCGCCTTTCAAGCGCATAGAAAGTAGTTTCACTGATTTTTATATTTTGTTTCTTGTGTGTCCCGATGAGTGAAAAAAATCTATCATTTGGTTAGATGCCAAGGATCGTTCCCTTTAGAACCGATCACCATCGGGTTTGGATTTCCCTATCCTCTATCTAACCCACTGATAGATTCTATCATTGTTTACGTGGATTAAAGTACCGAGTGCTTATCTAATAAGACCGTTACTTATTGTAGAAATTAATATTCGATCATTGACTGCCCTAAATTCGTCCCAGTCCTAGATTCAACATCCTTACTTCATTTTCAGAAAAGTCTAAGTAACAAATGTTTAGTTAGGCGGCGTTTAATTCCGATCACAAAAATCTTAAACTTTACGGAAATAGCCGAGCAATATTCATTGATTAAAATGATATTCATCCGCGTATTTTGTGATTGTGCATTTATTGACAATTCTATAAGCCAAAGCTACTTTTAAACTTTGATCGGTTATAATTCGCTGGATACTTGTAACAAAATAAAAATATTTCTTTCTTTTACAATGCTAGTTTTATGCTGTTTTGAGACTTTCTTTTTGTTGTAAGGATTGTTGAGAAGCGCTGTTCCTGAGATTGAATGTCAGCATTGTTTTTCCTGATCTGCGATCAGAAAATACAAAAAATGACCATTCGAACTTTTATGAATTGACGCACTTTGTTTATAAATTACGCAAAAAAAGTTATACATGACGAAAAATCTTTTAAATGACCACAGAAACTATCATAAATGACTGAAGAAACTTTTTTTTGACAACAGAAACAATTAAAAATAACGCAAAATTTTAATATAGCTGCAGAAAGTATTATATGTATAAATAATCCGACAGTATTTTAAGATGACCACAGTAACTATTAAAAATGATCGTTATAGCGATTATAGATGACGCAAATGTTTTTTTTTTATAAATGACGCTAAGAATGGTATAATTTACCACAGAAACTTCATAAATGACCAAACGTACTTTTTTAAGTGACCGCAGAAACAATTATAAATGACGCAAAATTTATGTAGGTATATGACCGAAGAAACTACAATAAATGACTACAGAAACTAATATAAATGACCGTATAGGCAATTAAAAAAAATAAAGCGTAGCCATTTTTATAACCGTTTGATATATTTTCTCTTTTTGACCATAAGTACCATCTGAGCGAGATTTTCGTTCGGACGAAGTGCAACAAGCATTGGAAGAAATTTCAATGGAGGAGTCCAGACAGAAATATGAGTTACACGGCGGGCAGAGTACAGGTAGTGTTATCTAAGTACTATAGAGATTTTGATAGATTAACCAAACTTTTATATAGGTGTTATATACGGTGGCGCAGAGGTGACATTTGTGCATTTTTATCTCGTGCCCAGGAGATACTATGTCGTGCACACGAATTACTAAGTAGTGCGCAGGAGATAATCAAATTGTGCGCACGAGCTACTATGTCGTGGCCACAAGTTACTAAGTCGTGCGCACGAAATAATTAAGTTGAGCGCACGAGATAAATAAAACACACATATGTCATCTCTGTGTCACCGTAGTTATAGGCAGTGCTCGATAATTCAAAGAACTTTATTCTAAAATCAGTAATTGACATATTCACCAAACTTGGATACAGTTGAGTTCAAGTGTTTTTTTGTTTTTGGTATCAATAAAGGTTTTTGTTTATGAGAAAGAATATGTGCACAACTTCCATTTCATGTTATGTAATATATTTTGTAATAAGATTACATTGTTTGTTAGCTAAATAACTGACAGCTGAGAAAGACAGGATATAGTGAAATAGACTTGACCAATATTTGGGGAGTTTGTCCCGCCCTCTCCCTGTCTGTAAGGCGTAAATATATTGTTTGTTTTACTGCAATTACCACTGTGCTATCTCTGGTCATCGTACATATTAATGTAAAAAGGATAAAGAACATTACACAAACACCAAAGCAATCAATCTTTATCATATTATTTACATTAAACATCTTATTTTTCTTATAACCCTATTTTTGGCGAAATTATCGGCATGAATCCTCCATAACACTGGGGAGGAAGTGTTACACGAAGGATGGAGTTCTTATGATAACTTGTTCAGGACTTCTTGTGATAACTGTCACGGAGTTCGTCGGAAAACATCTGTATATACTACAAACACACTCGTTAAAAATGGTTATTTTCATCTTTCAAAAAAGAGTTTTAGGTGCTAAATTAAACTTTAATGATTAAGCTTGTCTTACATCTTGTATTATGTGTCAAAAACTAATTCACAGGCCATTTTCAATCGTCTCTTGCTTAAAATCTGGTAGTTTTGAGTAAAATTTCCAAATTATTTGCCAATTCACAAGTATTGACCGGTTTATTTCTGGTCTTCATCCTTGCGATACATAATTACCTAATTATAATGCAAAATTGAAAACATAAAGCTAACAGATTTATAACCGATTTTTCAAATGTCCCGGAGTTCTTGTGATAACTCTGAAGATGTCACAGAGTTCTTATGATACCTTTGTTATTGCCAGTGTGTTTCTTGTGCTAAATACTGCACGTTTTAGTGTTTTTTATTATTCAATGAGACTGTAAATCATTATGAAATATAATACGCTCATCCTTTGCGCAAAAAAATAGGATATATAATGTTGGTTTTGAGTGAATTTTAGTTCAAGAGATATTATTTCTTTACCCCGTTTCTTTTTCATAGTATTTTTTTTGTTTGACGTAGATTTCGTAGACTGGAAAAAAGGATTTATGTACTGGTTTCCTAGCAGTTTCCGGCTCCTAGCAGTATTCTGGCCCTTTATCATTTTCATCCAGGCATACAATCTATTTTTCTCAGGTATGTTACTGCATCTTGTTTTCTATGTAAAACAGCAGTTATAATAGTAAAGCGATTAATATGTTTCAAAGTTGTCTGTTGTTTTAAGTTACATTAGAGAACTTGCGACACTTACAAGCAACACCTAGGGAATTATAGTTTGAATGCCCATACGTAATAACTGAAATCCCATTCTAGGTAAATCACTACTTTTAAACAATATATTTACAGACGACACGGAAAAGTTTGAAAAAACCCAGCTTAACATTGCTTATTGGTACTGAAATATTCAAAATAAAAACGGTCCGAAAAACTGCTATGAAATTTTGAATAAATGTGAGCAAAGGTGTTACATCTCAGGCCTTTATTCCATTAAAATGTAAAATAAAAGAGCAACATTAAACATGGTAATGCTGGACAGGTACCTCCTTTTGTTCTGTCAAAGTTTGCACTATTCGGTAGACAGACTTTTATTTTATTTGTTAAAAAGTGCGATTTGGGGCCGGGAACTGCTATGAAACCAGTAGGGCATTTATGTACGTGATAAAATGCGCTTTGAAATACTCAAATATGGTATTTTCATGTATATTTTTCTGTCGATGTTTGAAGAGTATTTCCCCTATGTAATCTTAGTGGAGGAAACTCTGCTACTTTTGCTGTAATTGATAACAAAAATATATAGTCAAACTTAGTTCTCTCGAACCTGGAGGGACAGTTCAAATTTGTGTTAGAGCCAACCGCAGTTGAGTTTTTATCATGTATCGTACTTTTTTAAGACATAGGTGTGGAAATTATCCTGGTTATATACTTATTTATTATTGTATAAAATGATACAAATGCCTATATATTGTATTCTTAAGAAAAGTGGTTGCTTAAAACATGTGAAGCTGAGAACAACGTGTACGTTTTGAGACATTTTTGTTTTGTGGTTTAAGCCATTATACTGCTGAATATCAGTGGCCGCTGGTTCAATTTTTACTGTAGATGATAGCCTTTTCTCTATTTATCCTTTGCAGACACTTAAGACCAACGATTCATCCACATTTTTGTGCAAAGGATGGTCGTACTGCATTTCAAAATGATTTACAACCTTATTGAATGATAATAAACGCCAAAACGCGCCGTGATTTAGCACAAGAAACACACTGGCAATAACAAAAGTTATCATGAGAACTCTGTGACATCTTCAGAGTTATCACAAGAACTCCGGGACATTTGAAAAATCGGTTATAAATATTTAGCCGGTGCTGTATGTTTTCAATTTTGCATTATAATTAGGTAATTATGTATGGCAAGGATGAAGACCAGAAATAAACCGGTCAAAACTTGTGAATTGGCAAGTAATTTGGAAATTTTACTCAAAACTACCAGATTTTAAGCAAGACGCGATGAAAAATGACCTGTGGATTAGGCTTTGACACAGTCATAATACAAGATGTGAGACAAGCTTAATCATTAAAGTTTAATTTAGCACCTAAAACTAATTTTTGAACAATGAAAATAACCATTTTTGACGAGTGTTTTTGTAGTATATACAAATGTTTTCCGACGAACTCCGTGACAGTTATCACAGGAACTCCTGAACAAGTTATCATAAGAACTCCATCCTTCGTGTAACACTTCCTCCCCCGTGCATAAAGCATACAACTATAGATCTGTACAAGCAAAACAGTTTCTGTTAACATCAGCCCAAATTGAGAAGCACAAATTATTTATCAGCACAAGTTATTTAATATCTTTTTATCAGCACAAATTAATTATCCATTGCGTTCAAAAATCAGCACAAATTTTATATCAAAACAGAAAACAGCAAATCCTATATTCATACACATTCAGCCGCGCTTATATTACTTTTTTATGTTAATACTTTGTTGACGCCGCAAAATAGCGATATGGCACCTTTTATAGAAAAACAGAAACAAAAGCGGGTCCCGAAAAAAAATCGTGACCCCTCTCTAATAAATTAAGCTTGGCGAAGCTGATGGTTTGTTGCAGCTGAGCGCTTATACCATCCTCTCTGGAAGGATATCATTAGATTCACGCCGGTAACATCTTGCTGGAGTGCAAAGTAACCGTCCTTTAGCCTAGCTTAAGTTGATTCCGCTTTGTCAGCCATGTTTGTTTCACTTAGTTGGTCCAAAGTGAAAGTAGGCCAAAATTCATATAACAACAAAGCTGATTAACCATTTGAAAATTCACTCTCAGTTCTATGTTTTGAAGACTATTATAAACAAAATAAAAATGATAACAATAAGAAAATTTACCTTGAATGTGCTAAATTTCTGAAGACCAAGTACAATCTGTTGTAAATTCATGAATGGCAAAAGTCCAGTTTAAAGTCAGTTTTAGTGCAGACAAATGCTAGTTTTTGCAGCAAATACTAAAAACTTGCAAAAACTTAAATCTAAGGAAAGTAGTTTGAATCTGACCTTGAAAAATATGGCCTCCATGTCACGTGTAAAAAAGGAGTACCAGAGAAATAACATCTTTTATCTAATTCTTGTGTACATTACAGACAGACACACTAAAAGATTAAATTTTAAAACTGGAACGTGTTTTCATTTTAATTGTAGTTCATAAGGTTATAAATTGTGATTGCCTTCTTGCACTACTTTTTTTACAAACAATAATGGAGGACATGTGCTTAGAAGGACATGAGATACTGCTTTATTTGTAATTAAGTTTTGAAAGTTTTTTGTATTTGCTGCAAAAAATTAGCATTTGTCTGCACTAAAACAGACTTCAAACTGGATTTTTCCATTCATGAAATATGCATAAAACTTTACAACAGATTGTACTTGGTCTTCAGAAATTTAGCACATTCAAGGTAAATTTTCTTATTGTTTTCATTTCTTTTTTTGTTTATAAAAATTAATAGTCTTTAAAACATAGACCTGGAAGTGTATTTTCAAATGGTTAATCATTTTACATTGAGAGCTTAATTGTTATATGAATTTTGGCCTACTTTCACTTTTGACCCACTTAGTGAAAACAAACATGGCTGACAAAGCGGAATCACCTTAATCAGTCACCAAAGACACTCCGAGCATTTCATCAACAGGCCCCAAAACCACAATATCATCAAAAGGGGAGGGAGCGTGGGTTTCTAAATTAAACACTGATGAAAAAAACCTGCCTCCTTGGTTGCCGAAAATTCCAGAAAGGCGGTGCTGTAAGAATATCTTGCGCGTTAAATTCACATGTTCGCCTTAAGGGGACAGGGGACATATCCGAATGACGGCCCTGTCAAATTTTTTAATAACTCAGACAGGCTGTTTTGAAGGTACTGGAAACTTCTGATATTTCTCTGTCATTGTAATTCTTTCTTGTTTGTGTGTAGGAAATGAGAAGTATTTTTGGGTTTTTACCCGAAACTAAGCATTTTGGTAGCTTTGTATGTATTTGTGACTCTCCGAATGGAGGTTAAAAAGTTAAAAATCAAGCTTTGACAGTTGGCGCCAAACAGGTAAGAAATTTCGGATAAATTTTGTGAAAAATCTAAACGTATGACAGACACTTTATTGGTCATTTTTGAAAATGCCATTGCTTGCACTGTGTGTTAGTGATATTTTTAAAGGAATCAGGCGGATTCTGGAGTATGCTGCATCTTCATGAAGATTGCCCATAATGCTATATTTCAGGTGTAATTTTGGCTGGGTGGGCATAAATATAAATTGCTGTCAGTCACATAGGAACTCTAGACAGGACCGCATTATGCGGCGCATAAATCCGAATCCGCACAGACTTTACATATTGTTCGTCCGACCTTTGAATATCTTTTCATATTATGCGAGCGGGTGGTCTTTATTTATCTAATCTCAATTTAACATAATCTGCTAATTTAAAAATCAGTCAAATTTACGGTATATTGAAAAAAGAAAAAGAGTGACATCCGCCATTTACCGCAACGTTCGGCGTAAGTTATCCCCCTTGATATGCTTGATTGTTGTATTAATTTTTCTAGTACTCTCTTTTTTGTCACTCAATACATGGAAAGCGTTCACATTTCCTAGTAATGAATACCAGATGAGTCCCCATGGAACATGTTTAAATATTCCTTTTTTCATTTAGGCAAAATCAGTTGGACCATATTACTAAAGTGTCTGTTATCTCCATGTTAGCAAATCAAAACATGAAAGCGCCCGTTATAATGCCGCCTATACATGAACAATAAACCGTGAACGTTATAACCGGACGATACCACAGACACGAGTATCGGACCTGGGAAAACAATTGTCCAGACGATTAAAAAATTTTTTTATCACTATTTCACGTTTGTATTCAGCTTCCAAATGATACCGACTCCAAGTCTCTAGCCCTTCCCGTTCATAAAATATATATCAGGAAACGAGCGTATTCGTGCGAAAAATCCTTGATAGACAAAATTGCGGCACAACGATTCGGTACGTAAACATAGACTGATACATATTTGTCAACTGAGTCTAATAATATTTAGTAAAATATTGAAATATTTGGAATTGTGTTTCTGGCCACACTGAAATACAATATTGTTCATTTTTAGGTCCCCTGCCCCTTATAAAGAATAGTTTGACAAGTTCCTAAGTGATAGTTCTTTACAATCTCATAAGCACAAATAAAAACAGAAAATTGCCCTCAAACAAACAAGTGCTATTCTAAATAAAAGCCTTCCTTATCTATAAAGATGTAATAGTTGGTTATTCTTCCCCTTTTCTATCTTTTTACGATGTACAAGATCTCGGAGCAAATCAGTTCTTTAAGTTATAGAAAAAGCATATCAAAACGAGGCTATTAGATTGTATTCTAACCAGAGAACAAATCAGATTGCAAAGGTTTTTTTATATTCTATCTCTTTTGTATCATAGGTAAAAATAAAACACTTTCCCTGTCGTCACAAAATGAATGTCCAGAATAAGTGAACCAATGTAAGAGCATCTGAATCATTATCCCTTTCCTTGTCGTCATAATAAGTAAACCCCAGAAAAATGTAGCCATTCAACGAGCATGGTTTGTATGTTAATCCACAGCAGTCAGTGCGGTACATTGAGTCGGATAACTTATACCTACACTTGAACCGTGCGTTTATAGGTATACGATTTAACTCTAGACACATTTTCAATAGAACTGTCTCTAAACTATGATACGATGTAGATATATCGTTTTAGAAAATAAACATATGTCTATTACAGGAACAAACACTGTAAGCCCTGTTATCCAAAATGAAAACGAAGCCGGAACATCGCAACTACCCAGCAGTCCTGATTCTGTTCGAGGTGCCGAAGGGGGCGCTCCGCGAGTAGAAGAAGCAAATGATGACATAACTATACTGAAAGAAGTCGAGTCATGTATGTATCGTGTCCTGGTCAGCAACTTGTGTGTCTTAATTCTAATACAATATTTCAAAACTTACAAAACGTAAAAACTATGGAAGATTATTTATGCAATAATTGTAATGTTCTTTCTGTTAAGTGCGTCATTCTTAGTCACGTAATTTATGTAATTAATGCATGATATAGAGATATATTGATAAACACTTGTAAAATGTTAAAATTGTATTGTGGTTTGCAATTAACACGCTGTTTCGTAAATACTATTATCTGTCTGCATCTACGAACTTCTATTCAGCAACTTTTAAATCACTGGTGCTTGATTTTAATCTCAATAAAAAGTTTAAATTCAAAAATCATTTATCAAAGTCAATACTTCCTATAAATATGGAAGGAAATTTATCTCCATAGCGATTAAAGCAGCACACCTCCATATTCATGTTAATTTTCATAAAATTTTGAAAATGTATTTAAAAGTAAAATATTGTGAGGTGAACAAAATAAAGTAACTTACATATTGCAATCGGCACTTACAATCCACGAAAATTACCAAAAGGGGTCAACATAATGCAAAAAACAGCCCTTACTGCGGTAGTAACGCAGTAGACATATGGTGATAAAATACTGCAAAATCAATGTCAACCGCACATGACATATAAAATATAACTTGGATCTTATCTTGAATATTTTTACTTTTCTTAAAAGTTTAGTGGATTTTTCTAAATATTGATTTTCTTGAAATATTTTGGTAATCTGGTCGCGTGCAGCTTTAAGATTCCCACTACAATTCTAATGCTTATATCAGCTTTGAATTGTATATTTAACATTGTCATTAGTTGCTATTGAATTTGGAATTATTAAGCAAAAATAAACGTACATTAATTATAAAATTAAAATCCAACGCCTTTTTCTTTGCGTAAGGGATCTGAGAGATACATAAAGAATGTTAAAAAGAAAAAAAGAAAGAAAGAAAGTTGCCCCTTCTGGCGTTTGAACTCACGCCCCTCAGTTTTAATGCAGTTGACAGTGATTCTAGCTTATTTGAAAACTCTTCAAAGTAAAGGTAATGCATTAGGGGCAATCGCAACTTTTCGGTTCATTCCGTAAGTTTTCGGATAAGGACCTATGAATACACAGAACGGATCTAACCTACGCTAAGAAACTGGACATGTAAACAAATAGTAATTTAATGATGGGAGTTGTTTACAAGTTTATTTTCAATATATCAAGTAATTACCCACCTAAAATAAGTGAATTCATAGATACAAAAGCAAACAACACATTATTTGTATATTCATTATTATGGTTGTAGAAACCGAAAGTACAAAATGCCAACCTGTTGACATTTAGCCACATTTCTTTAAAATTGTACATCAGTGGGCATATGTAAATTAAAATGGTTGTCAGACATATTTTTAATCATAATGGTACCGAAACAGACTTAATTTTCTTTGAATGTCAATTATATGTACGAGTACAATCGTTTTACATTATGCTTACATCTGAAACCACTTGGTAGAACTATTCTCACTCCGTATAGTCTGGTTCCCGTCGTTTTATAAAATTTAGTACAACTGAACGGAGAGAAAAGGGCAGGTAATCCAGACTATCACTCCGTATTGATTCCAAGGTTATTATAGATAAATGCCGAGGACGTTCCGATTGCATTAAGGGTAGACTACCGTAAGTCAGGAGCGCGCCCATTGTAAACGTTAAATTATTGCTTCTGGCCAAAAAAAATAAAATTGATCAGTTCGGCCAAATAAAAAACGTATCAGTGAATGTAGTTAAGGTTCTCAAGTGATGACGAGATTTTTACTATACATTTCGTAATGTATTTATTGGGACAAAATATGTAAACTTAATACCCTGAAAATGCCATCACCGCATCATGGAGAATTGTATATTCAGGTTAGCGATTTCAGAGCCATTATGACCCTCTTGCTATATTACGGAGCTCTATACCTCGTACTGAAGCTATCCTGTTTAGAAGAATAACAAGAACCTCAACCTTAACCTTGAGTTACATATACAATTCATTCAAATGGCAGAAAGGAAGTATTTCAATGAGTGTAGCAAATGGTCTTGGTTGGAATAAATGTTGACAGATCATATAGGCTCTATTTTCATTGTTGAAATCACGCGCGTTGTATGGCACATTCAGAAATCAAATAATCTTAATTACTAGTACAAAATCCAAAATGAATAACAAAATTAGTTCTACTGCATAATTTTGAATCATACATTTTTCATTGAAAGACTATCATTAATTGATTGGCTAAGATTTAATGACTGTGTCTCAAGTTCATTTTGGGATTGTACATCTCCAAATTTTTTATTATTTCTTCCCATGTAGAATTCATCTACTTTTTAACTGCTTATTCTTTATCTATTCCTTTCATCATTTTTCCGGAACTAAAACGTATCATGTACTAAAATTCACTCGAATATCTGTACAGCCTTGCGGTAGTTTTCCCCATCTTCCTCAAAACTACCAAGGTTTAATTATAAACAAAATTATATCTGTCTTAGTTGCACCACTAATTATTTTTCACTTCTCTGCCTTAAGTGGAATTTGGGTTCTGTAAATATTCTTTCCGGCTGTCACTTGACGAAGTATTGTTTAAAAATCACTTTTGCAATGTGTGTTTTTGAAAAGTGTAGACATCATGTTGATTTGTGGTTTCAATACTTCTATAAACAAACAAAATACCTCTCCGATTGTAAATAAATAATATTTATAATTTTCAGCTTGAATTTACAATTGTAGCAATTGATATTTTGCATTCAGCATTCGTTTTTTTTGCATTTAGCAGTTTATGCATTTAGCAATTGACATTTCGCATTCAGCAGTCGGCTTTATGCATTTAGCAATTGACATTTTACATTCAGCAGTCGGCTTTATGCATTTAGCAGTTTATGCATTTAGCAATTGACATTTCGCATTCACCAGTCGGCTTTATGCATTTAGCAATCGACATTTCATTTTTGCAGTAGGCTATATGTATTTAGCTATTGGCATTTCATTTTTAGCAGTCGGCTTTATGCATTTACCAATTGACATTTCATTTTTAGCAGTTGGCTTTATGTATTTAGCTATTGGCATTTCATTTTTAGCAGTCGGCTATGGAACGCCATTCTGCCATGCCAATTGCAATTTACGAAATGACATTTGCTAATGATAAATGCGAAATGCAATTTGCGAAATGACATTTGCTAATGATTATTGCGAAATGACAAATGCGAAATGTTATTGCTATATGCGCTTCTTACTCTCTGGGGCTGGAATGGATGACCAGAAAATTGACGAATTTATCTTTGATAAACTGGCACATACATATTAAACTCGCGTCTCTCATTCCATTTACAGTTACATGTACTACTAATAGTCGGACTATACATTAGATTCGGTATCAAATTATTTATACTAAAATCCCCCCCCCCCCAATTTTGTAAGTCCACTGTAAGGGACGTAATACACTGTATCTGTAACGATCCACAAAGAGCTGCATCAATTACAGAGAGTTAAAGGTTCAAACAATATGTGGCATATAGATGGAAACGACAAATTAAAGCCTTTAGGGATTTGTATTCAAGGGGCAAAAGTTGGTTGGAGCAGAAGGTTGATTTGGCTCAAAGTAGACGAAACAAACAAAAATCCATGTCTGACTTGCACCTACCTTTTAAAGTCAATTCGTGAGCTCAAGAAGGTTCCATTCATATGGACCGGCTACAGAATATGTAAATATTGCTGATGTCAAAACGCTTCTTCGTTCTCACCACAATGATATGTTTACAAGATGTGCTGTAATGGAAAGTTCATCGGATCACAACCAAAGGATCGAATGGTTTTGGCAATATTTGAGATAATCCCTATTACAGACGTGCATGGATTAATTTGAGTGGTGTTTTGCAAACAGACAACGTTCTTGATATATATTGCTTGAAATTCTGTTTCATTCCGAACTTCAACATCATGCACACCATTGGAATAAGCATCGTGTGCGAAAGATGAAGAATTTGTTAGATCTCTTTCTGAAATACCAAACATGATGTACACTACTGCTGAATTGTATTGCTGTACCGAGCAGAGCAAAGTTGCTGATGAAGTGGAGGTTGATCATTGTTTGCAAATAAAAACTGTTATGAACGTAATCAGTATTGCTGTCAAAAATGTTTTCCGAATGGGCCCTTTCTGTCATTGAACAATACAGATGGCAGATGCCAACTAATCTTGATAGAGCATTTGAACTGTTTTCAAATTTGATCATGGAAATATATGCAAGTGAAAAGATTTGGAATAATGTAAATAAAATCTTGGTGTCACAGTAAAATTAAGAATAAAAAATTATCGATTCATTTTTATACATGTACATTATTTAACCATTATAATACTCCCGCAAAAGAAGTGTGAGAAGGGGAATTATTGAGTCCGTTGTTGGGGTGGTCGGTTGGTCTGTATGCATAAATACCTACATTCTTGTAGCGCCAGCTTCTTTCACAATTCTTTAGGGATTGGTTTTAAACTTACAATATATCATCATCATGAAGTGAAGATATACATTTTACAAAAGTCAGTTAGGGCAATCCAGGCATTGCAGATGCCCTTAAATACAGACATGCACATATGTATTATTTGAACATAAAAGAGTGTGGAGCAAACTGCTTTCATATTTCTTAAGTGACTTATATCAAAATCATGAAGTGAATATGAGCATGCCACAAAATTATAGTCTGGCAATTCAGGCATTGCAGAGATGTGTGCCCTTGAACATTTTATGTATAAAGGCTTTATTCCTGCATGAAATTAAAGTTTGTTGTGCGGGGGTTATTATTCGCATCTGTGACAATTTTAGATTGAACAAGTAAATTCATTAAATTTATTATGTATATGCTTATCGAGGCATTATATGTAACTCATAAACAAGCTGCGAAGTTGGCAATAACTATAGAACATTTATTTAGTTGTTGTTACACAAGCGACATGGCTGAACAGTACTAAAATTAATTGGTTTCTC